TGGGTGATCTTAAAGGTTTTTTCTCATGTGTGCGGTGATATTGGTTGTGAGAGAAGTTTCTCCCAGTTGATTAGGGAGGTAGTTTGTAATGTGAAATGTGAGCTGGTTAGGTGTGTGTAGAAAGTTGAAATACCTTTTTTCGGGTATTGTATTTTGTTAAGAATTTGGTATGCAGTGGAAGGAATTTTCAAAAAAAGTGGAACGTTTACCTTTTGTAAGGAGTGAGCTATTCTCAGGTAGGTGAAGTGTTCAGTGTCTGGGAGGTTAAATTTCTTTTGAAGAATCGAAAAGGAGTCTAAGTCGTGATTTGTATAGAGGTCTTGTATAAGAGATATGCCTCGGTTTTCCCACTGTAACAGTTTTAGGGAAGGAATAATGAGGTGTAGTGTAGTGATTGGGGTAGATATATGTGTGGTATCTGTTGAGTTAAAGGTTAGGAGATCATACCAAGCTTGTAGGGAGGTTTGAATGCATGGGTGTTTGAGTAGGATTTTGGTCTGAGTTGTTTGTGGTGAGAACAGTATGTATGATTTTAAATGTGGAAGACCTGCTCCTCCTCTGGATGTTGGGCGTATTAAAAGATTTGTAGTACATCTGGGTTTTTTTTTATTCCAGAGGAATTTGGAAATTATTGCTTGTAGTTTAGAAAAAAAAGTATTGGGGATGGGAATGGAGAGTTCTATGTAAAGTTATTTGGGTAGTATGTACATTTTCAGGGTTGATACCCTTCCCAGTTTTGATAGTGTTGATGTGCGAAGATTGTTAAGTTCTCGTGCAATGGATTCAAGTAAGTTTGTGGTTTGAGGCGTATAGCTGATCTGTCGTATTGGTGAGTTTGATTCCTAAGTAGGGGATACTGTGTTGTTCCCAAGAGTAGGGGAATTGTTTGATTAGTACTTTTTGAGTTTTAGTCGGCGTGTGGAGATTTAGGATAGAAGATTTGGGTTAATTGAGTTTGTAATATGATACTTCCGAATAACTTTGAAGATGTGAATGAATCTTTTGGAGCGATATGTGTGGGTTAGTTATCATTAGTATGATGTCATCTGCAAATAGGCTAATTTTATGTTCTGTTTTAAGGTGGATGATTCCTGTAAATGTTAGGTCATCTCTGAGTTTTGAGTTGTGAGAGTGTGCTGTCTGTTAATACTCTAGCTGATGGGTTGGAGTAGAGGGAGAGGATTGCAGAAAGCATCCAGTCTGTAATTCCAAATTTTTGAAATGTTAATTTCATAAACTGCCATTGTATTCGGTCAAATGCTTTTTCTGCATCCAGGGATAGGAATAGAGAGGGTTGTTTGGTGGTTTCTAATTTGTGGAGGAGGGATATGAGTCTTCTGGTTGTGTCCTGTGCTTGGCGACCAGGGATAAATCCTACCTGGTCTGGGTGAATGGTGGTCTGGGTGTAGGAAGGTGGGGAAGTAGTCTTTGGGCTATTATTTTGGCATAGAGTTTTATGTCTGTGTTTAGTAGTGAAATCGGTCTGTAGTTCTGGACAAGTTGAGGGTCTTTGCCAAGTTTTGAAATAGTTGTAATTATGGATTGTAACATTTCATTGGGGAATTCACCTGTAGAAGCAGCATGGTTAAAGAGGTTGGTTAGGTGTTGTGTTAAATCAGGGGCAAATGTTTTGTAAAATTCGTTAGTGAAGTCATCGTTTCCTGGTGATTTGTTAAGAGGTAACGTTTTTATGTTTTTTTCTATTTCTGTGGGAGAAATTGGGGTAGAAATAGAAGCGAGTTGTGGTGGAATAAGTTGGGGTAGATTCGTAGTGTTTAGGAATTTTTGTATGGATGTAGTTGTTGGTTGGGTTGTGCCTGGGTCATCTTGAAGAGATTTTGGATTTGAGACATCATTGTTTGATTAGTTTTGTTAATAGTGAATTTGCCTTGTTACCTAGGGAATAAAATTGTGCTTTCGTTTTTTTGTAGGTTAAGGTCATATTTGTAAAGTAGGAGGGTTCAGAATTTATTTCTGTCTGAGGCTAGGGATGCAGATGTGGAAGGGTTTGGTTTTTTTTTGTTAATTTCTTCTTTTAGTTTTATGGATGTTAGTAGTTGACCAATTTGTTGGGTTCTTTGTTCTTAGTGATGCGGGAATTTAGTTGTATGAGGATACCTCTCATGTATGCTTTGTAAGCGGGCCACAATGTGGTTATAGAGATATCAGGTGTGGCATTAAATTCAAAAAACAAGTTGTGAGCTTCTAGCAGGTGCTTCTTGTTATCTGGGTTCTTCAATATCAAAGAATTCAGGCTCCAGATGCGGGGGGTGGAGGAATGTTGATTGTTGTCCAGGGTTATGTTGATTGGAGCATGGTCTGACCAGGTTATGGTGCCAATTTTGGATGATGTTACATGTTGTAGAGTCCATTTGTCTGTAACAAAGAAGTCAATTCTGGAGTAGGATAAGTGAGATGGGGAGTAGTAGGTATAGTCTTTTTCCGTGCTATGTTCACATCGCCAGATGTCATAGAGATCATGGTCGTGTAAGAAATGGTTGAAGTTATGTTTGGGAGATCGTTTGTTGGAGGAAGAGTCCAGAAGTGGGTAGCCGATGATATTGAAGTCTCTGCCGATGAGGAGTCTGCCTTGTTTTTGAGCAGAGATGGTGGAGTGAAGTTTGTTGTAGAATTGCATCTGTTTGTTATTAGGACCGTAAACGTTTACCAGAGTATAAGGGATATCGTTGATTTTGCAAATTAGGATATGGTAGCGACCTTGAGGGTCTGCTATTTCTGAGATGTGGTGGAAGTGTGTAGAGTCTTTTATGGCTGTAATGACACCATTTTTTTTTCTTGGAGTTAGTGGCCATGTAGATGTGAGAGAATCGATGTACAGTAGATGTAATTTAGGAGTCTTGGTTGATGCGAAGTGTGGTTCCTGTAGGAAGAGTACGTCAGCGTGAAGTGCGCGGGTTTCTTTTTGGAGCATCGATCTCTTAAAGGGGGAACATTAAGAGATGTTATGTTAAACATATTGCAGATTATTGACTTGGTTAGCTGAGTAGGAGAGTTGTTTATTGGTTTGTTGAGAGAAGTTGATAAAATGTGGTCATAGGAGGGGATTTTCCACAGGCATGGTAATGTGGTTTTGGCTCGATTGTTGAGTCAAGGGATGTATTCCATGTTGTTTTGCAAGTTTCATTTGAACAGTTGATTTGGATGGTCTACTGGTGGTGCCGGAGGGGTAGGAGGTGAAGGGGGGAAAAAAAACTTGTTGAAAATGCAAGTAACATGAGTAGCGTGGTATGCTACTTCTAAACAGGGGGGGTGTGAACAAGCATTGACCATGCAAGGTCATGCTAAACAGTATCTTGTAACATGAAGATATTCGGTAAAGGACCGTTTGCCAGAAATTAGTGGGTTGAGGTATAGTGCCCAAGGTGAAGCAATTGAAGTGGATTGAGGGTGTAATGAGTCAGGATCACTCTGCATCCATTTGTTGCATATTGGTAGAGGTGGATTGGTGAGGTTCCATGGGTATTATGTTCCAGGTCTTTAAAAGGTCGATGCCTGCTTCTAGGTTTTTGACGGTATATATTCTACCATGATGTTTGACGGTCAGTTTTGTGGGGAAGCCCCATTGATAGCCTATTCCATGCCTATTCCTCAGAGCTTCGGTGATGGTGACCAGCTTTTTACGGTTAAGGAGTGTGGCCTTGGACAAATCTGCAAATAATCTGATATTATTGGCTTCTGACATTATTTTTTTTCTTTCACATGGTAAAAGTGGATGCGGGCCAGAATATCTCTAGGGATTGATGCTGATAGGAATGATGGTTTGGGTATTCTGTGTGCTTGATCTATGGTGAGCTCCGTATCTGAGAGAGATGGGATGAGGTGTTTCATATATGGCAGTAGTGTTGTTGGTAAATATTTTCAGGAATACCTCTGAATTTGATGCTATTGCGTCTTGAGTGGTCCTCTAGATCTGCTAGTTTCAGATCTATTTGCTCAATATCAGTTGTATGGTCTGCGTGTGCGTCAATCAGATCGTTATGCGCTGTAATTATTTCCCCCATTCTGGTTTCAATATGGCGTAATCTGTGTTCTTGTTGCTGAACCACATTTGAGATCTGGGATAGTGATGATGGTAAATCGCTGTGTAGTGTTTGTCGCAGGTATAAGAGCATGTTTTTCATGCATATTTCGGTGACAGGCTGGTCAGAAGCAGGGAAAGATTCTATCAAAGATGGATCAGTATTGTGAGGAAGTGATGGAGGGATGAGAGGCTGACAGGCAGATAGTCAGATTCTAGATCGGGTCTAGATTTGGCCAGGCTGCTTGTGGTGGGAGACAGGTGAGGAGATGACTCACCCGGGTCCCCAGGGTATAGTGGAGATCTCAGCCTGACGTCTAGATGCTGGGATGTGTTGTCCCCCTCATGGATGCCGTGTCCGTTTGCTATGCACCTGGCGCCATCTTGGATTCCTGCTGTGACAGCAGGGAAGAATTTTGTTAATTTCCCTTGCTGTCCAGGGGTTTTGCAGCGGCTGGCATGGACATTTAGGGTTGTACACCCTTTATCTATGTTCTCTGCAGCTTTATTTCCCTCGGGGCGAGCTGTGATATGTCTGGCGGGTGGACGGAACGTTGATCAGACCGCGTCCATCCAGGAACCGGCAGCGCATGCACCCTCCACCTTGTTCTTTTAAAATGTTTCTTGCATATACTGTAAACAAAATTGGTTTAATCCTTCAGACAAACATTTCAACAATTAGTTCAGATTCCAAAGATATAGTAAACCCCGTACCCTGCATTCACTATATCTCAGTACACAGAACATGGAAATGCAATTATTTTAGTAAATTTAAAATGCTAAATACCTTTTCTCATCAGAAGTTAGAGCAGTCTTGTGGCTTCTATCAGTGTTCCACCAAGCTCTAACTAAAGCTTGTAGGTGGAGTTTTCTTTCTGCTCTCGGAGGATGAAAACCCCCTGACCAGTGCTGATTGGCCCTGTGCTGATCACATGCACTCTTTCACGTAAAAAAAAAAAACCAAAAACCCTCTCTAGCAATACACACCAAACTAAACATGTGTAATATGCATGTGGTTCAGTCTGTCTTATCAGGACATAAGAGGTAATCGCTTAAACAAGGGGAGGAACAGAGCAATCAGGATCAAATGGCATTTTTACACAATGCAGAGAATTAACCACTTAGGTTCCACAGTGAGTATAATAAGCATGCTTTACTGCATATACAGACTGATTTTACTGTTGTGGGTTTAGTAACACTTTAAGATTGAAGTTAAGTTTATAAGGACCATACAAATTATACATGTACACATCAAAAACAGACCATGGCCCTAAGGAACCCAAACACAACCTGATAATAGCAAGCAAGGAATTTGGTGTGTGAACACTGCTCAGGCAGTTATCAGGCTCTAAAGTGGGTAACAAGCACCTATTGGGGTTGGTTTAAAGTGAAACTCCACCTTTTTTTGCAACAACGGCTTCATTTATTAATGATCCCTGTGCAATTAACAGCTTCCCGACTGCCCTATAGCAGATATACTGCTACAGGGCGGCACAGGTGCTCAAAATTTCCGGTAGGGGGCGCACATTTGCGGCCGCAGCTGTCAATCACTGGTTCCCGGCTGGTGCTTACTCCCCAGTGCCCGGTTATTCACGAACATCTCCGACAGGGAGGAGAACTGTTTGTAAGCAAAAACAGTTCTCGTCCCTGTCAGTTCTTGCACACTGCTTTGGTTGGCTGTGCACAGCACAGCCATCCAAAGCAGTGTGCTTACAGTGAAGCACCACACACACAGCACATAGTAAAACAGCACACAGTTAACCCTTTGATCGCCCCTCATGTTTTAACCCCTTCCTGCCCAGTGCCATTAGTACAGTGTCAGTGCTTTTATTTAGCACTGATTACTGTATTGGTGTCACTGGGGATGTCAGTGACACCAAGTCAGTTCCCCCCCAGTGTCAGAATGCCCAGTGCAGTTCCACAGTCCCGCGCTGATTGCTGGCATTACTAGTAGAAAAAAAAAATCCCAGTATATTTTTCGCCATTTGTAAAAGCTATTACTTTCATGTAAACCAATTAATTTACATGTAGTGGGATTTAGCAAAGACATGTAGCAAAATACATTTTGGCCTAAATTTATGACAAAATTTTTTTTTACTGGACAAGTTTAATAGCAAAAAGTCAAAAATATTTTTTTTCTCAAAATTGTCAGTCTTTTCTTTTTTATAGCGCAAAAAAATAAAAACCGCACAGGTGATCAAATACCATCAAAAGAAAGCTCAATTTGTGGGGAAAAAAGGACCTACATTTCATTTGGGTGCAGCATTGCATGACCGCACTATTGTCAGTTATACGAACGCACGCCGTAGCACAAAAAATGGCCTGGTCAGGAAGGGGGGGGGGGGGGGTAAATCCTCAAGAGTACAAGTGGTTAATGTTTGGATATTGTAATTTTTTTTGTTTACTCTTAGTATTTTAGATGTAAGAAATCATTCCACTTCTGTCCTGCCTCACCGATGCAAGGTATGTAATTTCCTTTCTCCCGTTGGCTCCGGGGATACCAGTAACATCAATCCCACAAGTTGATTGATTGACAGGTTGCAATAACAATGGGGCAGGATCTTCCTCCGACACTGCTATTGCTATGGCAACCTGCAATACATATAGTATATAGTATATGATTAGGTTCCACTGCACATGCACAAGATCGAGAGTTGCATGCTGGGTAGCCATCTGTATCTAGTCCCGGAAGAAACTCTTAGTGGGCTTCAGATGTCCACACTCTTAATGGCTGCTTACATGATCCAGGGGCTGCTGTAAGAAATGCTGGATTTTATTTTTAAAAAAAGATGATTTCTTGGAGGCTCCTTTCAGTTGTCTGGTCTCCACAAGAAACGTTCTGATACACTTACAATTTTTGCATAAGGTCTATTTACCCCAGCCATGCTTGCTAAGATATATAGGGGCCAATTTTCCCTGTGCTGGAGATGTTGGACACCTGTCCCAGACTTCATGCATAATTTTTGGGAAAGCCTTAGCATTAAGCCCTTTTGACAACCAGTGTTAACTTGTATCAACTCAGTTATCTCTTATTCTGTACCATCTTCAGTTCAAGTCTTCTTGCTGAGTCTGGTTGAGCCATTGGCCACCACAAAAGCAATCCTCCTTACTTTACTGCTCATTTATGCTAGGAAGTTAATTATTTTGTCATAGAAAAACATCCTCTGCACCAACTCTACTAGCATGGAAATCTTTGTTGAATAAAGCAGTTTTATTTTTTTTAAAGCTGACTATTAAAGTAGGAGGGCTTTTACCAAGTTTGATAAGGTATGAGACGGATGGCCAGCTTCCTCTGATACAGTCTCTGATTAGGTCCTGTTCTGAACCTTATATTAGTCATTGTCTGTGTTGAGTATAACCATGCTTACTGGGTGTATTAGCTAACAGTATGTGCCTTGCCACCCACGGTTCTAGGTGGGTCATTTGTTTTACCCTGTATTTGTATCCATATGGCAGTACTATGTGGGTTGTTTCTCTGAACTTCTATTTCTTTGTAGGGAGGGATGGTGGGACATGGACCATTAATATGTCTTTCTAGAAATATCCTACTGTGGGTTACACCTCACTGGATTTTGTATCTGTTCTCCTGGTGAGCTTTAGCTGTGTATGTTAGGTGAGGCAATCTCTGTTGTTGACTGTTTATGGGGTTTTTTGCCCTATTGTCTGCTGTAATTCTGCCATAGGCAGGTTTTTTGTTACTGTCTTGATGGTTGTACCAATACTATACCAATCTTTTAGCTTATCAACCCCATTGTGTCAGATTTAGAAATGTTGGAAATTGTTTATTGCTAGTCACTTTTTATGTTAATACTTTAAAGTAGTATTAAACCCAAAACCAAAAATGTAATATATTGCAACTTACCAATCATTATTCAGATTAATATTCTGAATAATTTATTAATTCCAAAGAGCAATTATTAAATGTGGTTGCTGCAATAGTTTTCTTTGTTAGGCTTTTTCCCCTAGTTTTCACCTAGTAATCTGGCTAGTAATCCTAGTAAACCTAGTAATCTGGCTAGTAATCCTAGTAAACCTAGTAATCTGGCTAGTAGCACACCTCCTGTATTTGAGTGCCTACACACTAGCTGAAGGAGTACAGGGGGGACCTTTGGACAGTAGAATTTTTGATCTGGGGGAACAAATTTAGATACACTAACACATACTGATTAAGGGGGGATATGGTCAACATGAATAAATGCATCAGCGGTTCATATAGTAAACTCGGTGTTGAGTTATTCACCCTGAGGTCAAGGAGGCACTCTGAGGTCAAGAGGACAAGGAGGCACTCTTTACATCTGGAGGAAAAGAGATTTAATCTAAAAATACGGAAAGGTTTCTTCACAGTAAGAGCTGTGAAAATGTGTAATAGACTCCCTCAAGAGTTGGTTCTGGCCAGCTCAGTGGATTGCTTCAAAAAAGGCCTGGATTCTTTCCTAGAATATAACTGGATATAACATTTATAGGTAAAGTTAATCCAGGGAATATCCAATTGCCTCTTGGGGGATCAGGAAGGAATTTTTCCCCTGCAGGAGCAAATTGGATCATGCTTTGCTGGGTTTTTTTTGCCTTCCTCTGGATCAACTGTAGGTATAGGATTATAGCAAGTTTTTTTTTTCTTCTTTTATGCTTGAACTGGATGGACCTTTGTCTTTTTTCAGCCAGACTAACTATGTAACTATTATTCAGAGAGTAGTGGTAGTGGTTACTATGTAACTATGTTTATGCCAAACTCCAGCTAACACATTATAAGCAGTTAGAGCAACCGTTTATTTCCTTTAGGGATAAAGGTTTTACATAAATAAATAAAAGCTGACCCTGTATCATGAAATCAGTGGGCCTGTGTGCAAGATCAAAAGTAGGCCCTAGGCAGTGATAAAGAAACAATGGCAAAATGACTAAAAGTGTGGTTTAAATTGTATTTAAACATTGGGCGTGGCTTAACAGGGGTGTGGTTAAATAGTATCTGAGATGACTTACATAGTGCAGAATGTGGTAATGTTGAATAGGGAATGTACAGTGTGGAATGTATGACTGTGGGTAGTATGTACAGGGAGAGGAGTGCGGAGTGTATGGCCATGGTAAGTATGTGCATGATGGTGTCAGTAGGGCAGTGGATGGTGTAAGTAGTTCTTTATTATTATTTATTTATTTTTTACAATTTTAATATTTTTTTTGCAATTCAATCTTTTATTATTTTTACAATTTTTTCTAAATGCTTTTTGGGGGCCAGAGGATGGTGTCAGTAGAGCAATGGATTGGGTGTCAGAATTTTTCTTTTCAATAGTGTTTATTCATTTTTTCCATAAGAAAGAAGTTACAAGCCAGTACAGAATAATATACATCAGTTTTTGTGTCCCCCCCCGCTCCCCCCCCCCCCCCCCCCCATATAAACTGCAGCCCTTTCGGACTGAAACAGGCAATGCACAAAATACAGTATTTCAAACAATTATCTATTGGTGGTGACCAAAGGGGTCCCTAGGTACCTATACATGGAAAACCTTCAATAATAAGATAACATAAAAAATGAAATTTAATGTAAAACTGTCAGGTCTGGTGTTATAGACCACCATGACCTGTATAAAGGGGCAATCACCCTCAAATGTTCAACAGGCCAAAAGGGGATATACCCTCATAGCCCTTGGTTAACTGTGTCCAAAACCAAGAAGGGGCTTGAAAAGGAAAGAGAAAAAGAAATAAAGTAGGGAGAAAAGAGTGTGTATAGAGATAAGAAAAGAAAAAGGAAGAGGTAAAGGATGCTTGGTGGAGAAGGATCCAGCTAGCAGTCGGGTGTGGATATTAAGACAATTACTGTTTATCAGTATCTCATATTGACCACCATCCATCCTAGGACAATGCTGAAAGATATTGCATCCAAGGATCCCAGGTTTTTTCAAAATAAGCCATCCTGTCCTGAAGAGGGTGTCAGAATTTTTTTTTTATTTTATTATTTTATTTTGAATTATTTTTTACAACGTATTTTTGCATTTTTGTTTCACAACGGTTTTGTGGGGGCAGTGGACAGTGTCAGTAGGGAGTGAACAGGGAGCACTAGTATATATTAGGCTGTCATTAAATTGGGATGAATAAACAGAACCTGTACCCCCTTATGTAATGCGTTGCTCTCACAGTCCCCCTTACATCAGCAGGTGTCCCCACATGGGACCAACTACTACTAGGAAGGAAAAGAAGGAAGAAAAGGGGGGGGTGGATGGAGGAAGGGAAAAAAGGGAGGGAGGGAGGGAGTGGATGGAGGAAGGGAGAAAAGGGGAGGGAGGGAGTGGATGGAGGAAAGAAGAATATGGAGAGGGATTTGGGGGAAGGAAGGAAGGAAAGAAATGAAGGAAGGAAGGAAGAAAGGAAAAGGGAGGGATGGAGGGAATGGATGGAGGAAGGAAGGAAAAAAAGGAATGAAGAAAAGGGAGGGAGAGAATGGATAGAGGAAGGAAGAAAGGAAGGGAAGGAAGGGAAGGAGGGTTATAGGAAACTAGTGCAGCTCATGTGAATTCTTCTTCAGCTAATGCTAATTCTCTGCACCTAATGCTAATTCCCATGCAGCTAATGCTCGTTCACGTGTACCAGTACACAGACAACCCCAGGCTAATATCCATTGTGCACTGACACATAGGTGCATTTCTATGTGCCATCGTGCATCGGCATGCACCCCTTCCCGCATTGGTGCCAAGTTGCCTATTTAAAGGAGACTCTGCTGTGTACTAATCGCTGGATGTTCTTCAGCTTCTTGTGATCCGTGTTCCTGTGCTCCTGCTTATACTGACTGTTTTTCCATTGCTGACCCGGCTTACTCCTAACCTTGCTCTGTGGATTCCGGATTTTGACCTTGGCTTGCCTTAGACTACTCTCTGCCTGATCTCCTGGTGCTGATCTTTGCTTGCTAATGGACCTTGCTCTGTTTGCTAACCTGGTACTGACCTCAGTCTGTCTCCTGACCACGCTGCTGTCTCAACTAAGGTATGTGACAGAAGGGAAGGAAGGACTCACATAGATGGTTCCCGGGTTACTGGC